ACGGTGAATTAAACTAGAATCCACGTAACGCTAACTTTAAGATATTGGTGTGTAAATTTATTTTATCTACGTAGCTAGCTATACTCAAAGGCTAACTAAAGATTGACAGTAACAGATGAAGCTTAGCTTGTAAAACTGTGTTCATCCATTGGATCAGCTGCTTAAAAAGTTTGCCTAATGTTCACCGTTTGTTTATGTTCTCCTCACAGGAGGTTCTGACCTAGATGTGAGGAGGACAGAGACTCACAAAATAAAAGTAAGGTGGGGGGCCATAGAACAATGACAAACCTCGTTGTTAAAAGTTTGCTGCCTTTTTCTACAGTGGAGGCTCCATGGTGGAAGTAAGTAAACTTTTAAGAAAAACGTTGGATAGTATACCTGTGTAGTGAACTAAGCCTCAGGTCAAGTCCTGGCCTTGAGGGCCTTCCTGGGACAAGAACTGTATTTCATTGATTTGAGTCCAGAAACACAAGATTAAGTTCATCCAGAGACTTTCTAAGTGTCCTGCACTGATCAATTGAAAGAACACTCTTTTTCTATTATCATTACTATTTTACAAATTTTTTGATAAATCAAAGTGTGTTTAGTTCAAATCATTTTAAATGTTGAAGTGAACTACTCGTTTTGAATCAACTGTGAAACAGTATTAGTGATTTTTAATCCTCATTCAAAGTGGAAATCAAGTTAGAATGTGTTACAGAGTAATGATTCAATTTCTTGATCTGTCTGAAATGAGCAAGTTGTGTAAGTTGGTCAAAGGTCAAGTTTCGGTCAACTGCAAGTTTACTGGAAAAGAAATGTCATGTTTAACTTTTACAGAAAGATTAGAGAATTGACTCCACGAAGTCTGGGTTCTTCATAATATCTTCTGTCTGTTCTTAAACAATCTAATCTTTTTCCCTTGACTTTTAATAACCTCTTACATCACTAAAACACACCCTGTTTGGTTAATCGACCAATCAGGAAGTTCTCAAATGAACCGGAAGTAACCTCTTTAAAAGGTGCAACACTTCCTAGTTCACCAGTGAGTGCGGGAGAAGAATGCTGGGAGAAAGCTGAGAGAATGCTGTGAGTTAGTTCAGAGAGCAGCAGAGTTCAGAATGCTGGAATTCAGAATGCTGGAGAAAAAGCAACTAAGCTGAACGAGAGAAGTTCAGAGGAACTATGAAATGTCTGTTCTGGGATGATCTCACGACTCCGAACGGTTCCCTACTATCCTTACGGAGACGCTGGAGAGCGTTTGAAGGCAACTCTACACCGAAGTCGGAATTATCCTCTGCCAAGGTAAAAGAGTCGATCTTCAACCGC